TGGAAAATTTTCCTAGCAAGGGAATCACTGAAGTTTACCAGGCCAGAAACTTTAGGGACTAGAGATCACCTTTTAAGTGGTTCCAATTCTGACCAGATCTGTGTGTCTGACTTAAACATTTGCTTCTTAGGGCCATGGACTGAAATTTGAAATGCTGACAGGTAGGTTTTGGTCTCTTACTCTTGGAGGTATTTGACTTAAGAAATGAAAAGAGAATGATTCTCAGAAGACAACTACCCCTGTGCATCTCTAAATTAAACCATTTAAAGATAAAAATCTAAAAATGAAGCCACCTGAAACCGAGGATTTTGAAAATGTTACCCAAATCATCTGTGATCTGCAAGGCTCTTCCTGTTTGTACACAGACTCAAAGGTAACAGGTGAAATGAGGATGGAGCAGTAATTTTTCCACATGAGCTATTTCTTCTTTGTAGCAACTAGGGGAGTGAAAAGCTGTCTGAGAAGCCCTATGACATTTCAGAGAAGGAGGCTGTTTCCCAGAAATTCTGCGAATATGCTGACCTTCACGGTGCTAGCATTTCTACGTCACTCTACACACAGCAGCCCAAAAGCGTAATGCAAACACTGGCCACTGTCTGCAGTGCTCCACTCTGACCTACTCAGCCTTCATCACAACTATCCTGGAGGATCAGTGCTCAGCACCTGGGTTATTCGCACTGCACAGCAAGCCCTGTGCGTTTATGCTGACCCTACATCCACCATTCCTGTTAGTAGCACTTCTAGAGACATGCCATATGCTATAGCCTATAACAGAACCCAAATGAACTGTGGAGCGACTTGCCTGTTTCTCTAGGTACCCTGTCAGGACACAAATGGTTTAACTCACAGCCTTCCTGCAAAACTAATGCAAATGAAAATGATCTCTAAATTCCAACCTGTATCCAACCACCTAACCAATTTTCAAAAAAGGAACAGTATTTGGGGTACTGCTCAGCTAAGAATCTGAATTAACCCCATGTTATATACATAAACTTAGTGACAAAGATATATACTTCTGGCCCCTATGTAGTCCTTTGCTGTAGGTTGGAGGAAAAAATAAAGCACAAAACCTTAAACTGAGCAGGTGGTAGGAGACACAGCATAATGTATGTCCTTCCATATGTCCTTTCCAATAGTTATAATAATTTATAAATATTTATAGTTATAATAGTTATAATAATTCTCCTTTCACTTATATTCATGCAGTCCCACTCAAACCTCATGGTTTAGTACCATGACCCATAGCAAAATTCATCTGTGAAAATCATGCTGTCCATGATGCATCCATTTTTTGAAGTAAAACAAAACAAAACAAATACCTCAAAGGCCTGTCCAAGTATCACAAATTTGTGCCAATTCTCATCCCGTATTTAACTCAACCATATATGCCCTGAGTCACCTTGGCAAACTCCCTACAGATTTGTATCCCTAACGACCTCTTCTTCTATCTCAATTTCTCCAGTCCTAAAATAACGCTAGTGATACCTACCTGACTCCTAAGTTGCGACATGAAGCTTAATTCATTCAGTGTTCTTCAATACCAGAAGACAGTTACAGATGAGGGGTGCCACAGGGAAATACTGACAAGCATGTTTGGGTATTTCTGTGTGTAATATGGACTTTTAATATTATTCCAAAACGAATACACATGCAAGATGTGTTCAGGCTTCTGTATTTCTAATAATGTTCTTTCAGGAATGTCAAAGCTTAAAATTTAAAAATAATTGCTCTATAAGTGCATGCTAATGGCTTGCTTTGCAGATGGAAAATAAAAAACTTATGTTTTCCTGTAAGCACAGGGTTGACACTGGTTTATTTCTTTCAAAAATACTTACAAAAGCCAGGATTTCTCTGTATATATGTGACCTTGATTCCTAGATGGCACATGGACTACTTAGAGATCATATTACTAAAGTTATTTGCAATTAAAGGGGAAAAAAAGGCTAAAATTAATGGGTCACTAGGTATTTTCTTCTGAGAACTTAAGTACTTAACAGTAAGAAAAAAACAGTTTACAGCCAGGTGGCTTGAGGGGATATTTTGTTGAACACTGATTAAAAATAATTTCTTCTAAATGAGACCTGACCACAAAATGGGACCTTTAACGAGCAGGGACATTCTCACCAGAAAGGAAACTACGCTTGATCAACTCCTGCACCGCCCACAAACCCCAGGTCTTTTTCTCTCACACACACACTCTCTTTTTTTATTTTTTTTCCTTTTTCTCCTCTCCCCTTTTCTTGTTCTTAATAGCAGGGTAAATAAGCAGCAAGTGATGCTGAAATGTTTTCGGCCAAAAACAGAGGCCAAACTCCTCTGAGAAAACATTTGGCCTCTGTGGTTTTGTAATATGTTCCAGAACACTGAGTTCACTGAAGAACATTGTGAAAAACTCCCATCAGCTGGAGTGATGCTGGGGAATGTTACTGTATCCCAACTTCCAATTGGTCCATTTCCTGCAGGCCTTGTTAAAAAAAAAAAAGAAAAAAATAGTGCTATGTGGGAGTTAAAACAAGTTCTCATGGGAAAAATGAATGGCAAGAAATTCTAGCTTTAAAAGAAACAGCTAATCTGCTAGTTTGATTGTTCTTCAAAACTTACAATGAACCAATAATCCTAATTAAAAACACTTGGCCTAGTTCTCTAAAGCATCATAGCTTTTTCTATGCTTCGTTTGTACACACCATAGACTATTAGTTTTTTTCTAGTGCTCACTAACAAAGTGCTGACTTTGTTGGGATGGCTGAGCTAATTTCGTGAACTCAGTGTGAAACCTTAGCTAAACAAAATTGTGGTAATTTTCCTTAATTTGTAAAAGTGATTGGAGTGCAAACAAAATTTTCCTCTTGGGTCAATCCTATAATTTTCAATTAACTAAAACTAATCGGCAGGCGTGTACTGAACCTGCATTTTGTTTAAAGGGCTGGAAGGCACTTCTGAAGGTCAGGATGCATTAATTGTTTTTATTTTAGTTTCATTTAGTCCTTTTTAAAAAGCCACATTTAAGTTCGGGCTGCCTCTAAAAGGAAAATGCAAATTGTGTGAGGCACGATTTCAGTCACAATAGCTTTTCTGTACCTACCATAGCTCCATAAAAGCTGCATAAGTAAGAGAACTGTCCATGGATTGGATCACCTTTGATTTTATCATTGTTGTTTAGTATTTCATAATTTTCATTTATTGAATGAAAAATAATGTGTTTTAAACACTAACCTGAAAATGCATATATAGAAACAGTCTCCCTACTGGGACACCTTATTTCCACATTCAGCCATCTGCTTCTGGGCAGACAGGCTAAACTGCTGCCCTCCTTTTTACTGGAAAAGCTAAATAATGATGATCTGAAAGGCAAAACCAAAATGGGTCCAAGCCATTTTTACATTTAAATCACAACAAAGTCCCCCAAAATTTATTTGCAAAGTCAAAGGGGGCAGGTTTCCTCTCTTTCTTCTTCTTCTTCTGCATGCATACTTGCAGTTTCACCAGACCAAGATGCAGCCACCCCGGTGGCTTAACAAGCAGGACAGCACAACTCACAGTGAGTAAGAAAGTGAGAAGGGAGGATTCCTGGTCAAACTGTCTAGAGCTCTGGCTGACCCTTTCATGTGCTATACACTGGCAATTTGCACCAGCTGGCAATTTGACCCTTTGCCTTTTCTTTTGTTCCAACACATTCAAACCCTAAATAACTTTTTTTGATATGGTGTGTTATTGTCCAATATATAAATTTCCCACACATTGTTGAAATCATAATGCTCACAATAAATACACACAGCCTCCACAAGCGTCTGCTGCTCAGGCAGCAAGGGGATACATGAACACTTCAAGACCCGGTTTAAAGAAACTCAATGCATAATCCTAACTGGGGGAGAGGGTATTTGAAAAAGACAACTAAGCTTTATAAGGCACCTTTCTTCAACTTGCTCAGTGTTAAGAAAAACCGAATGAGAGCTTTGCTACCCAGCTGGAGTACAGAAGTCTCTCCTCTGCGTCATGTCCCTGTGTGTACATTCACAGTTGGAGCAATCAATGTATGTGCGCAGCGTAACTCAGAATGCCTCATTGCCACAAGTATTAATGATATATCTTATTCTTAAAGTTTCGGGGGCAATCAAGAATGGGGAAATGGGGAAATCGGCACTGGATTGTGATGAATCTCAGTTCAGGCAAACGGTTACAGTAGTCCTGTCTGCATATGTCAAACAACAAGCGCATAAAGGGACAAGCACATCAAAACCTGGACCAAGCCATTAAATCTTGTAGTATGCCTACCTTCCAAGGAATCGATGACACACTTCTTTTAAAAAGTTAGGCTGCTACTTGATTTATTTCCCTGGCCATTCTTTTCATTACTGAGAGCCGTCTAACACTGACAGCACCTGCAATGTCCTAGCACTTTTTTTGTTTATAATTCTTCAGGCCAAACCACCCGACTTAGTGGTCTCAGTGTGGGATGCCACCCCAAAACACACTGCAAGTCACTATGTCTGCAGCATCAGCTGGGGTGAAAGCTGCTTAGCCTCCCTGGAAGTCAGAGGCAAATACGTTATGGTGAGATGGGAAGGCAAACAGGCTGCTGCTTTGAACACCTGCAACACTTGCCGGACAACATGAGATGGAGATCTTTAGAAAGACACTTCCTGGAAGGCAGGTTCGTGAGTGCGTTAGTATGTCTGGCTCTTTATGCTTGCACTCTTCCTCTGTTTGTTTAAGTACTGGAGTATCTATTTCTCTCCTTCCTCCCCACCTCCTGGGTAAAGAGATGTCCCATTGAGAGGACAAACAAGCAAGCAAAAATCACACACTGGTATGTTTTCAGATTCATCTCTACAGTCATCCATTTCTGAAATCCAACCTTAAACTGGTATCTTCAATGATGTGCTCAGACAAAATAATAAAATACAGTACAGCTTTTAATGACGAAAGCAGAAGCCCTAGCAAGTATGATATATTGCCTGCCCTATTTCTCCATATTATATACAGTACTAAAGCATCCTTACCTGTGTAAATGAATCTTCCAGGCGTTCCCTTGCAAAACTGCTTAGACTTGTAGGACAATGTGACTTCTACAACCCCTGGAATATGTCGGGGAGGCGTCTGTACGCGGATGGCATGAGGAGTAATCAGCTAGAGGGAAACATTGAGAAGGGAGAAGAAAGGGAAAAAAAGCACTGTTAGATGCTGAACACTTCTTTAATAACACTTTCCTCTCAGATCACAGTAAACAAGCTTTGAAACATGTAATTAACCTGTCAGTGTTTGAATACAATCTTAATGTAACCCCACAAAAGCCAGTGACTACAATATTTACAAGCATTCTCCTCCTCAGCCATAACAACATTATTTCTGTTTTCATACATGGCAGGCACTTGCTTCCTCGCGCAAGTGTTAGCCCAGGCTTAATGCAATAACTTTAGCTTACAGCAGCAGGATGCCTATGTTTGCTCAGGTGAACACTGGGGTCATGACAGTGTCCAACAAATCTGATTGATAAATGATACGCAGTTACATGTGTGAACAGAGCACAGTGCAAGCCCAGGCTGAGACTCACTGCACAGCCCAAGCCCGGGCAAGCTTTTAAATGTACTGGTCCCCAGCTGACATCTGTACACTGCAAAAGCACCATATCCTGCTGTTCTAATTTTCTATTCAGTTTGTGGATGTATAACTGATTACTGCAGAAATGCAAAGTTTGGCTTGTGAAGGATGCTAGATCTTTCCTTCCAAATGATCAGAGCAGTCAAGAGAGATACACCAAATATAACCATCTAACCATCACTGCCAGTCTGCCTTCACGGCGATGACTGCCACACATCTGAGAGGGCTCCTGCAGATGTGGGTTTACAGAGTAATAAGTAGACAAACTTAACTTTTTTGCTAATGGGGCTGGAGATCCTGATCTTCTTAACACAAAAGATTGGGGTGGGGCAGTCTGCACTTTCCAGGCTCTAGACCATTTTTGCTCTTTCAGGATTCTGGACTGGATTTAAAACGTAGTCCCTGAAATAAATATTAGAGCCATCTAGGAATTCACTAATATATGTCAGGTTAACTCAAATCTCTGCTGCACTCAGAAACTACAGCATTGTCCTCCCCATCACTGATATGTCCTCTTCTCACTCGTTATCCTCCCTTAGACAAGAATAGTAAAAAGAGGTACATAGAAAAGGTGACATGATTGTGTCCAGCAACCAAGGTACAGCTCTAGCACACAGATAACCCTTCTTTAACTGACTGTGGCACATTAACACACCTGTAGAGAGGCAAACAAGACCAGGACCATAACCAGCCTTGACAGTGAGCAAAGTCATGGCCACCCTATACAGACAGTCAGCTGCTCATGGTTGAATCATGTCCTGGAGTAGAGAACACATTTCAACAGAGTTTTGTTCTCTGAGTTTTTTTTAAATAAAAAGCTAATTTTATTCTTATTTTTACTAGGAACCAAATATTTTAAAATTGTAGTATCAGACTTTTAACTAGTTCTTTGTTTAGGGCACAGGACTGAAAAAGCACAGGAGAGTAATGTCTGTCTGAGAGCCATCTGTGTTACTGAGGGAAATGGCATACGCAGTAGGAAGATCTCTATATTTAAAATACGAAAATTAATATTGTCAAGTTGAAGGTTAAAACCAAAAGTACCAGCATCAAATGCTCCAAAAGTTATTCAGATCCACAGAAGTCATAAGTCTCATGTAATTTTAGAAATTATCAATTTAGGAATTGATGCCTTCTTGTTTGTGAGCTCTAAAGAACATGTTTTCAGGCTCTGCTTTGAAATCATGTGATTTAGAAACTTATTTATTTTTCAAAGAAATGTGCCTTCTTTCTAAATTACTCACTCTATCAACTGGATAAACAAACAAACAAACAAAACCACCAAACTTCCAAGGGTTGCTTTTTTTTTTTTAAATTGAGTTGTTTTACAGTTGGGCTGACCAAAGCCTAAAAGCCTAGGCCAATTCTCTACACGTCCTCAATAGTCAGCGGAGGCAGAAAGCACTGCCAAATAGCAATTTATTTACAGTGCGTTAGACACCTCTCATGTTGGGATGAGCTTCTCTCTGGAAGCATCTACCTTTCTCCAATGAACCGAGATGACAAGTTTCCGAGATGACAAGTTTAGACTAGATGTGTTAACTGTAGGCAGCCAAACCTAGCTGAGATAAATCCCATCCTCAAGTGGTTCTAGTTAACTGGGTGAACTGGCAAGATGCAAAAAGTTTCATGACATTTTTAGGGGAAAAATACTTGTAAAAACAGCCAAGGATTTTAATAGCAAAGGTTAACATGCTAGTCTTACTACATCAGCATGTGCCTTGCACTACCCACGCCCATTCTGGCACGAGCTATACAGGCAGCTTCTGGTTGTATCTTTGAATTTCCCAGCATTTACTGGTCTGTCACCACTTTAATGTTCCTTAAACATAATTTGTGGCATTTTCCAATACTCATCTTCCCTGGTTCCCAAGAAATGTCTGACCTATTTATGGTCCATTGTTACAGAGAGCTGGGGAGAGTTAAGCAAGTTTCCTGGTTTGTTCTCCACAAACAGTTTGGTTTTCCTTTGTGCTCTGAAGTAAATAAGTTTAACTGTGTTTAAAACCACAAATATACAATAATGTCGCCCACACATTCCCAAAGGGTGAACATTATGTCTGAAGTCCTATGGTTTAGGATACTCAGGATATATTTTACTCCTCTCTTCTGTAGAACTAAAGCTTGGGAGGTATACCAGGAGAATACATGTGCCTTTTCCTTTTGCTTTTTCTCCCTAGCATCTGCCACTGACCACTGTCAGGGATACAGTGCTGAGCTAGAAGGACCTTTGTTCTGGGTCAGCCTTCAGTTCTCATGCACACAGAAAGGAACTGGCTAGCTTGGTTACATACCAGTAGTCCCCTATACTGCTGTCATATCAAGAAATGGTCTTTAAGGGACACTGTCGCTGCACTTCAAAACCTGCCCTCTGAATCTCACCTTTGGTCTCGAATTCTGATTCCCTAGTGCTGCCAGGATCTGCATTATGGACCGGGACCACCTCTCTGAATTGCCCTAACTCGGTTTTGCAACCTGAGCGACCCAATGGGTGCCGCACAGCTCTGGGTACTCCAGGCCCACCCACAGCAAAAGCAAATCTGTCCCTGACTTCAATAACTCCAAGATTATGGGATATTTTCCTGTCTACACTGTCAACCTGTGGTCTGATCTTGGGAATCCATTCCACCTTTTCCTAGCATGTTTCCTCCTCTCACACTGACATAGCTTGTACTTTCTTCAAAGCACAGTCTGTCTCATATTTGTACGTAAAGCTATTAGCATCACAATATATGAAAAGTAAAGACCACTTGTAGAAGCCTCTGAGCCCCAAACTGTTGGAGGCTGGTAGAATGTTCTGGGGAAGCATCACTACATGCTCACCTTGTTGTTTTTATAGACGTCTGTCATGACCCAGCGCCAAACACAAGATACCAAGCCAGATGAACCCCCATGTCTGACCCCATATGGCCATTTCTATGTTCTAACGTCAGATGGGAACTCTTAGTGCATTAACAGACATCATAACAACCATAGCAATGACATGCTAGGAACTAAGAATTAGTGAATATGAGTTATGTACATTTCTGAACATATTTTTAAATGTAAATCTTGAGCAAGGCTGTGATTTGGAGAAGAACCCCCCAGCCAAAATCCCAGATCCAGCTTTTCCATTCCAGCATTTGGATAATTGAGATCTGGAGCTGGACATAAAACTAGTAACTGGATCCTATCTCCCAAGGGATTTTCAAGTGATTTGGTCTGATACTTGGCAGCTGCACTAGCTGTTTGATATAAACTCTTACATGTCAGTTGGGACATGCTGTGGATTGCATTAAAACCTGAGTGAGAGACCTTCAGAATGGAGGGAGGTGCATGTCCTTCAAAATCCAAAACATATTTGGTTTGAGTGTGTACAACAAGCCTCTTTCTGTGGTTTGCTAATATATTCTAGACATTCTTGTGTGATACAGCATTATTTCACACTCTTCAGAGTGCCAGGTTACTTTCTTTTTTTAAAAGTGACATTTTATAAGGAGATGTCATTAATCTGAGTCACTAGTTTATTTTTGCATGCTTGAGCTCTGGTTTGTGGTTAGAGAAATGGTGACAATCAGTCATAAATTTAACTTGGACTCCGTTGAAGAGGACCATTAGGACAGGAATAAAGAAAAATCTTACCAACTGAAGGTAATGACAGCTTTCAGTGAGAACAGGATCCTTAAGATACCTATATTTTTAAAAATGACCAGTGACTTTGCATGCCTCAATTCTGGGCATCCAGATGCTTAATAAGCCTTGGTTTTCAAAAAGAGGGTGCCTACTCATTTTTTAAAAATGAATCAGACCTCCAAAATAAGCACTCAAAAACAGAGACTTCCAAAATCAATAATAAACATAAAAAGCAAAATAAAAAACTGTCACAGATGTCACAGATTCAGCAGCAATAAAAAAACAAAAAAAACCTCCAAAAAACCAACAAAACAAAAATGCCAAACCAAAAAATCATCCTCTGTTTTTGTGCTGTACAAAGGTAAAAGAACTGATGTTTCAGTGCTTCATCTTTTCTTAATATAAAAGAAAAAGAAGTTGTTTCCAGCTGACTCTGTACAGCTGGAGGAATGTTCTTGGCAGGAAAATGTTTGAAGAAATAGTTCATTTTAAGCAAATATTGTGGAATATTTATAAGAAACTAATTTTGTCTTCACAATCGTATATTTGCCCTGAAACTCGACTCTTGGACTTTCAGCCCCCCAATAACAGAGAGAAACAACAGAGGATTTTTATCAGCAGCTCAGATTTTGAATATTTGCAACAACACACAGACCCAGAACGCTGGGTAGAAACCTGCAAATAACAACTCCGTCTGTTTGTGGACTGGACAAACAGAAAGGCAGAGTCTATCTGGCAAACAGACTATTTGCTGGGAGTTGTCTGTCCAGATTCAGCATGTGCACACGATATACCAATGCCGTTTGTTTGTCGGTTTGAAAGTCCCTTGAAAAAAAGGCATTAGATGGCCCATTTTGCTGTATTCTAAAAATATCAAGGGCTTTAAAAGTCATTTTTATACAGTAATATGGGAGTTAAGGATTAATTGAACCTACTGGCTTAGGGTATCTGCATTTCTGCACAAAATTAATGTGACAAATTAAGTTTTTATTTAGTTCTCCCTGGCTGAGAAAGGTTGTAATTATGTTAGAGTGTTTACAGCTAAAATATATGTTTAAATAATAAATACGTGTTTCAGAAACCATTTTAAACCTCCTTTTTTAACACAGTCAACTCCATTTCAAGCATATAAATATTTCAATTACAAAACTTGAATACATGTAAAATAAATTAAAAATATATTATTTACATTTCAAACTATTTATAACATATGCTGTTTGACAGCAACAAATTCACCCTTAAAATGAACAAATTTTTTTTTTGTTGTTGTTTTTTTTATTTTTGGGGTTTTTTTTGTTTTAACTTTGCTTCTGAACTGTGGTAGGATTTATATTTTAAATATCCATGCATCTCAGGTACTTACATGGATTTTGCTGTAATAAAATCTGAGTAATATAGGACCTTTATGATAATTATCCTCACAGCACCTCTCCAAAGAAAGTGACTAATCTTATTACTATGTTAGAGAAAGGGAATTGAACTTTAAGCAGATTATGTGATTTGCCCAAGGTCCCATGCAAAGTCTGTTGCAAAATGATGCTTAATTTAAATATTAGACTTCATCCCCCAAACCACCTGCAATTACAACTGAAAGTGAAGCTAGAAAAAAATCCATGTGAAAATGCTCTGCAAGACTCACTCTTTTGTTCTAGTTTCTGCCTATCTGGTTTTGGTTTGGATTTTCTACAGCCCAGTTAAAATCATGTTTTCTTTGGATCAATGAAACAACAGGACAAACTTAGAAATTCGTCTTGAATTCAATGGCAAAATAACCGGCCAGGTTTGCTCAAAACTGGGCCTGACTGGCAATTCAGGATGAACCTGCTCCAGGTTTGAAGATCGGCAGTTCAGTTCTACACTCTATTAAAGTAAAACAAAAATATTCTTCCTGAGTACTGAAAATGCATTAGACATTTTTAGAAATGGGAAGGGAAAGAACGAACTTATTTTGTACTTCATATGTGGCTAGCACGTGTAATTTAAATTGCTATATATCACTATGATTTCGGGATCACTCAGGCAGCTCATGCATTTCTGCACTTATTTATCATGTCTGTCTGCTTCTTTTAGAAATCATCTGTTTTCCCCCATAGGATTTTCTATTGCTCCCATAGGTTATGAAACTGAGAAGCAATTCCGTAAGGAAGAGACAGTGAAACAGTTTTCACTCAAAGCCAACTTGCAGCCCGTTACAGCGTTCACAACAAGCAGGCTGACTTGGGTCTGGATCCCCTCTAACATTATTCAGTTTACGACAAGGCCTTGCAACCATCAGCAACAATGTTTTGACCAGCACTCACTTTCCTGAGATTACAAATTGCCAATTAATGGCTTCCACTAATAACCAGAATCAAGTTTTATAATGAAAGATCCAATTCTGCACTACCAAAATCAGAGCACTTTCCTCCCAGCCTCTTCACCTTTCCCTGTTAGATGTCTGTAGCCATAATGGCTTCAATCCTAACACAAAATGCTTACACTGGACCCAGGGGGCACTTTCATGATCACATAAGGGCTTCAGAATAGGGCTCATTTAATATATCTCCTTTTCTGGAATGCCCTTTCAGCCATACTTGTCCTCAAGTGGAAGGATGAGAGAGAGAGAATAGTGAAGCCCATGAAGGACGTTAGAGGATACTCTTCATATGGAAAAAATGCTGCCATATGTGCAATGGAATCAGTAGGGGGAATGTGCTGGATGTGAATTAAGCTATAATGTTGATTTAATATAAAGCAAAGCATCAGAATTTCCTTACGTCACTGGGTAAGCACTGTATAGCTATTTTGGAGATGCTGGTTTGTCTGTTAGCATGTCTATTTCAGTATTAAAACCATGAAAATAACAATTTCTTATAAAACCTCAAAAACGCTTTTGAAAAGTCATAAATGCAAAATATAAACCTTTCCTTGGACCTGCCTTCCCGTGCCAGTGAAGCCAGTGGGAACTCTGCCCAACTTCTATGGCCCTGCGCATTGGAAGTGGCCGTTTGGGTGATGCTGCCTGGGTTTTAGCTTTCCACGAGCTTTTGGGGCATATCAGACTCCAGGATAATTTCAATGTATGTGCCAGGAGAAGAGAGGATTTAAGAAACTGGGAGGAACAGCAACAGCAAAATTGACAAGAAACAAAAAAAGGGTTACTGTGAAACTGCAGAAGCCCCCGCTAGCTATGACAAGTCTGGATTTTCCGCTGTGGATACAATACGGTGTATTTGGTTGCTATTATGCAGATGGTACTTACAGCGAGCGTCTACACTTTAAGGATATGCTATTCAGAAGCGCTGAATTTCTGCAACCTCCACCTCATTGAGCTGCAGCTACACATAGCCAGTTTCCCTGGAAAGCAGGATCACCTAAACATTTGTTTCCTGTGGGCCCTTAGCAATTGTAGTGCTAAATGCAGAATTATTCACACAGGCATTTATCCTTCCCTTTTCTTGGAATAAAAGGCACTGAGCTAAATTCTGGGCCAGTGAGAGGAGATGCAAATCCCCTGGCTATAATGGATTTCTGCCACAGGTAAATTTGACTAATTATTTTCATAAAACTGAATGAGGAAAGGATTCACATCTCAACATTTGATGCTGATTTAGCATGTGGCATAGAAAAAGGACAGGCTAGCTACAAGCTAGACAAAGCTATTAGACATTACCGTTCAGACAACACCTACCTCACTCCAAACCAGCATGGTGCCGAATATGACCTGTAACCCATCAAAGAAATTGTCTCCTATGATGATGACAGTGGCACCTCCTGTAGTCCATCCTTCACTTGGACTGATGGCTTTGATACATGGTGTAGCTGCTTTTCAACACACATGAAAAAGAGAAGTATTCTGCTGTTAGAACCAGATTTTAATGATAGAAGGCTTGAGAAAAATAAAATAAAAGGAACTTTCATTTTTCCCCCCTTACTAACACAAAGATTTCAGCAATCACATTCTTTCTAGTACATGTGCATGACCTCAAACTATATCTTTGGAAGCGTTTTTTCTCAATTAATTTCTGTTTGGTTTTGTTATCTGCATTTAAAAAATTAACTTTTTAAAGACTACATTAACAAAAAAATCACAGCATGATGGGCAGAGACCAATTGGAAATGAGGACAAATCCCTATCTTTATTCTATAAGAAATGTGCAGTAGTCGAGTTAATAAAACAATCTCCAGTGAGCTTGCTTTATTATCCATCATAACCTAAATTCATCAAGGAAACTCCTATAAATATTATGGAAAATATTGGCTAAATAAAAAAGGATGTAACCCTCAGCATTTCTTTAATTATTCTATAATCAGATCCAGGTTGTTCTAGTATTAAACCACCCTGCCCTGGTTAATGCTTTGGCTACTACAAAAAAAAAAACAACCAAACACAAAACCAAAACTTACAACCCTGCTATCTAGTCATTCCAGTTACATTGCATCTTCTGGAGAATTTATAAGTGTGTGCAATGCATTCTGCCATATTCATAGAGTCTATCCCCACTTCCACTAGCCACTTTCTTGGCATCGTATGCACTAAGTGCCTCCTGAGAGGATGTTGAAAACTCAAGCACTGCTCAAAGTAGTAAGCTCAAATCTTGGTGTAAGATTTATGACTATCTAAGCAGAAGCATGCTCAACTGGTGGGTAAGGGCAATATAAACATCCACATAGTGATTCTCCTCCCCTGCAGTACTGAAGTACATCAGAATTTAACTGTGCGGAAGCAACAGGAATAACATTAACCGTAAAAATAACGTGAATAAGACAAACAGCTCTGGCTAACTCTCAGCTGTGGAGCCTTATACAGGTTGATGATAAAAAGCAACCCCATCCCAAATGACACCAACTTCTTCTTGCTCATACAGCATGACCTGAAAATATGACACCATACCATTAGATAACGCTTTGAGTAAAGTGGGTACCTCAACAATTTCATTTGCCACAAAAAATAGATTCCTTAAGGAGCAGCAAAACTCCACCAGTCAATCTCAATGTTGAAAAGAAAGACTCTTTCCTTTAGATAAGAACCTAGTCCTCAGCAGAGAGAAGAGGCTGGCTCCACTGAAAACACATGAAGGGTTGCTATTGCCCACACCTTTTCTGCAATGTGAATCAGGTGTCAATCAGCAGCTAACAGCTCGTTAGCTGCATATATGCATATATACCTCTTTTTTTAGGGTTGTTGGCATTTGGCTGTGAATTGCTACTTGGTTGAAAGGCTGGTTGAGTTGTTAATTTGGTTTGTAACTTTGAGCATTTAATGACTCAAGGCAGTCATGCACTTCAGGTAAGGATTTACTAGGAAAATAAGGGTGTGAAAGCCACCCACATGTAGCACCATCCAGGACAACACCCTTGCACCCATGAATTACTTAGTGTGGCTGTGTAGTGGCACAGCCCCTGCCCTACATTCTTCTCATTGTAAAGACAGTAAATTAATTCATTCACAGAAGCCTACTTTAAAATGCTCCAGACATAAAGCGCTAAAGAGACCCTGTGCATCTTTATGATTATTTAGTGAAGTTCCGGTCTGTTGGAGCTAATTGCACGAGTCGGTGTGGCTGGTGAGAAGCTCCTTCCTCCCAGCCCCGGGGCCGGGCGGGTGGACGTGGAGCTGGGAAGCAGGAGGGAGCTGGAAAGGGAGCCGTTGAGTCACCCTTAGCAGTGAGCGTTTCTGTGGGCATTGCTACAGACTTGCACCACCAGTGATGGAACGTACGCATGGGGAGCAAACAGACCCCATCCCTACCTACAAAAGGTCGTAAGTGTCAGACACAAAACTTTTCCACTACTTAAGCTGATGGGGATGCCAGCTCCAGTGAAAAACACACACAGGCAGAAAAAAATCATTACCCTACTCCAAACTTGGCAGAGCACAGCCATTAACTTTTACATGAGCTAACAAAAGAAACATCCTAACATTACCATCACGAAAATGTAGCGCACACACAGAAGTAACTTCAGTATGTTTAATTTGGATTCAAGTTACTTGCATAAAACCGTGCATAAAAACCATTGCAAAGTCCAAAACCAAATGCTTTCCTTTCAGCCGAGCTCACAGCAATGGATTTACAGTGAAAGCAACTTTTCAAAATGCCATCTAGCCCTTTCACAGAATCAAACTTTTTCATAAATAAAAATTAAAATCACTTCCAAATTACACCCTTTCCAGTTGATTGTGGACACACACACCCCACAATAAAACCCGAAGATAATCAGTTTCCCATGTGTCAAGAGAATGAGCTACTTTTCTTACAGACTACAAGCAACGTTTTTTTCCTAAATACCAGTGAATAAAAACTGTTTGAGACCATAAGCCATTAACAGAAAACATATGCGGGCTTCAAAATTATAGATTCAATTCATTTTCAAAATGAATGCAAGATAACTGTTCTGCAGTTAGAGGTCCTCGCAAGAGGTCTTGCTATTTATCCTGTGATGTTCTTTGTGGTACCTACATTGCACTCAGAAGTGCAAGGTGCTGCACTTTCTGTGCTGCCTCATTTATTTGATTCTGATACTTTATACATGTATGTGCTTAATATCAAATACATGCCAAGTCCCAGAGCAGCCAGAGGAACTTTGAGCAGACCCTCAGGTCCTTGTGCTGCATTGGGGCTGCAGGTTGTTCACTGGGACACTCTTGCCCGCAAAGTCAATGGGACCACTCGCACATGTAATTTTTTTAAATATGTAGCAATTGTGCTTGAATCAGTGCCTCACCGAAACTGCTGGCAATAGCCCGGGGCATCTCCTCAGAGAAGGAAAAGTCAGGGCTTGGTGGTTTAATAAGCAGGGCAGGTTGGTACCCTTTGCAGGCACTACCTGAGAAGCAGCGAGAGCGCTGTGCACTCCCAAAAGATTTCAGGGCATTATTTTCCCTTGGGACCAGTCACAAAAACCCGTGAGACTTCCCAACTTTCCCCACACAGCCTCTCTTATCTTAAAATGCAAGTGTCTGTAAAGACTGGAAGGGCTGCACGAAGGCGCTGCCCCGCGAGGGAAGCTGCGCTGAAGGGCTGTGTCCTGAGGAAGCCTGAGGAGACGTGCTGAGGGAGGCATCCAGACTGCTACCTGTTTTTGAAGGCACAAAACATGTTTATACAATGACATATTTGCAACAGCCAGTGTCGTTTGGGACACTGGTCTTACTAAAACTTTGCCCTTCCCAGGCCCTTTCCTTGGAGCACCAGGAAGGAGGATGGAAGAATCGTGTCCCATTTGCCGGCGTCACCACAGGTAATGTTGGGAGGGGGGCAAGGCAATGACCTCAGCTCTATTTATGCCCCTGGTACAAATGTCTGGCCAGCTCAGGCCCTCAACTCTTCATATTTCTTCTGTTAATCATTTGGCAAGTTTCAAAGTGCTGTCTGGAAGGTGTTTACTTCTGTGCAACCCTAGAAAAACAGAGCTAGGCAGAATAATCTTTCCATTGGAGACCTTGATTTTTCTACATTTTGTTTTGGTCACAAGAGAAACCAAAATACAGAACATTTTTTTGTAGAATGCAAAGTTCCAGAATATCTATCTGGAATTAACTATAACACTTTCTAATATTTCCAAGAAAAACAAAATATTTTGTTTCAAAATATTATCACTTCACATGCTCTTCTGTAACACTAAAGCATCATTTCTAAAACAGTATTTTCAAAACAAATATTAAAAAAAGTTACATAAAATTTGTGTTTTTCTGTAGAAAAAGAGATTTGGGTTGAAGTCTGAAACTTTGCTGGTAAAAAAATGCGGTGAAGGAATTTAGACTACTTCTAATATAGGCAATGAAGGGTACATGATTGATAACATGAATGGACTTTAAGTCCAGAGAAGAATAATAATAAAAAAGAATAATTACACAGTCTTACTCACGTAAACTTTTTTTTTAAATGAACAGCTGGCAGCCAGCTACAACCAGAAGCAAAAGAACTGGTAGCCTAACTATCAGATAAGATTTTAAGACTCTCTGGGGTGAGCGTGTTACATTGGCTGCACGTTTTCAGAACAGTCGTTGGACTGGTGAAAAACTAAATACTACCCCTCCAACTGCAGGCACGGACCTTGCAGCTCCTTGCTGAAGGTGATGTGGCCGCATCCTCCACCTGCTGAAATGGCCTAACGGTTATGAGTCTTAATGAGCTGCTCTCCTTCTTTGCATAGTATCAAGGCAAATCAGTATCAACATCGGACATGTTCCACTGTGCTGCTCCTGAAACTGTGGTTTGAGTTAACAGACATAGATGTTAGAGGGAGGTGCTGCAATCCCGAACTTATTGAAGCCCGTGGGAATTTTGCCACTGACTTCAAAGCTAAGGTCTCTATTGATAAATTTTAAGGATTTATGAACAAAAACTTTAACGACTTTCAAGGGAAACAATGTTCTTTTGAAATCTTCATCTTTTCTCAGAACATACAGTGTTAAAATCTTATCACCTTCCATACAAAGGATGGTAGGTACCGACTTCAGCACACGGGTAGCAAAAAGGAAGTTTGCTGTTGTGCGCTCTGTGTGTGTCAGTGTGTTCCTGTATTCCCGTGCTCCCCTAGCTACTGATATACAGGGGATTTTTCTTCCTTCAAACTGTGACAATAAAATGATTACCCCGTCACAGTTTAGCATAATGGTTCAGAAATGCTCGTGGCATATTGCAGAGTTAAAGTGGAAATTATTAGGTAGCTCTTCTTTGTTATAATAATGATCACTCCACAAATAAAAGCTCTTCTCCCAAAGGTACTGCAAGGCACAAAATGCTAATTCTGAAGATTATGTGTGCACTTTTATTAAATATTACTATGCCCTGTCTGTTTGAGGGCTTCACTGCTCT